TTAATGCTGTATTTTCAATAAAAAGGAGTGCCAAGTTGGATGAACAGACTGTAGTAACTAGTAACACAACTTTTATTTTTTATTTATTTAAACAGATTGTCCGTTTACTATGATTAATTGCTAATAAGTTAAAAAAATTATAGAAAAATAATAGTGAAGGACATTCTTTTGGGCATGCTAGGGCCGATTTCGTCGATGTCCTTTAGTACTATAGCGTTTTTGGAACGAAAGTTCCTTACGGCAGGCTTGGAGGGGATAGGGATTTTGCTGCGCCACCGAACTGAAAAAAATGTGATAGTAAAACCGTAAGAAAAAATGCGTGGAATAAAACCATTAAATGAGACGTGCGCATAGGGGGTGGTAGAGCGACGAGGGTGCATCACTGAAATATTGTGATATTACACCAACACTGAATATGTGTGAAGTTAAAGGGGGTGGTAGAGCGACGAGGGTGCATCACTGAAATATTGTGATATTACACCAACACTGAATATGTGTGAAGTTATAGGGGGTGGTAGAGCGACGAGGGTGCATCACTGAAATATTGTTATATTACACCAACACTGAATATGTATGAAGTTGTAGGGGGTGGTAGAGCAACGAGGGTGCATCACTGAAATATTGTGATATTACACCAACACTGAATATGTGTGAAGTTATAGGGGGTGGTAGAGCGACGAGTGTGCATCACTGAAATATTGTGATACTACATCAACACTGAATATGTGTGAAGTTATAGGGGGTGGTAGAGCGACGAGGGTGCATCACTGAAATATTGTGATATTACACCAACACTGAATATGTGTGAAGCACGGAGCACCCCCACTAGAGTCCGCATCACACAAATTTTGTTTGGAATCAAAATCGCCAAAGTCGGTGGGGTGCAGGGAGGTCAGCCCCGCTGTGATTGGACGCGTCAAGGTCAGATCATATACTCAGTGCAGCGAAGTGATGAGGGTAAGATCGATTTTAGAAAATATCGATATTTTCTATCGATAAACAATTTAGGATAGAGGCCTAGTACTTTGGTGCGCAAATGCGTGATCATACCCTCTCCACTTTCTTCCAGCGTTCTAATTACATGACGCGACTAGTAACTACATAGTAAATTATATATAAGCAACACAAAAAAAAACACGTCCAGGACAAGAAGTATTAATGCAACGATATTAACTACCCTAGATACAACAACACGAACAAAATCGTGGCCGAAACGTGTCCAAAAGGTACATTGGACGATCCACGGAGGTCCGTAAGATGATCGCGTGGTCAAAAACAATATAATGCCTTATTTAAACATTAAAAGTCACCTTTAATGCATACGGCATAAGGTCTTAATTAAAATGCATGTGTCAAGTTCGTAAAATTTTACGATTTATTGTTATGTGAAAGAATATAGACCTTATTTTTTTTGACTTTTCACGCGCAATTCTGAATGCGCTGTTAGCAATATAGCAGGTACAAACCGCGAAGAAAAGAGATGGCTAAGGGCGACGTATAACCGACCATGCATTTGAATATCACAATCAGTTTATAGTAAGTATTACAACAATAAAATTTGCTTTAAAGGCGTTAATTAAAAAACAATAATTTAGATACCCGTCGAAAAAACGACACTTTACGTACTATTAGTATTTTTCTGCATTTTTTCACGGAACTCTTTGGCATCTTGACTTTTCAACGGTCCGCGTGTGACTGTGTACTAAGAAGTGCTTGAGTGGAGTTCAAGCACTTCTTGATTGGGACACATTTTGAGCGCACGTGGTGTATCTAGGGTATTTAATATCGTTAATTCTATGTCTTTATCTAGGTCATAAACTATGCGCACTTAATTTCATACAAATCCGTTTAACCGTTTTAGCGTGAAAGAGTAACAAATATGCATACAAATTTTCGCGTTTTTTCAATTTTATTAGGATATGTTTGAAGTCAAATAAAAACTGTTGGTTGTATACTTATGACATCTATTATTAATAATAATAATAAATTTATTTATTTGCCCCAACATTTTGACATAGTTTAAACTTAACAATAGTTTTCTTAATGCTTAATAGAAGCGACAATGCTATTTAAAACTAAAAACACAATAAATATTGTATACGATGAAATAAATAGTTTTTATTTATTTTTTCCATTTCCATAGCTGACAAACTTATCGATAAACTTACGCGTTGAGACATGAGCTGCGTCTGAGTCACTAGCAATACACGTGCCGGTATGAGAGCGAGATAGCATATATGATGTAGCCCATGCGAGAAAGGGATAGTGTAAAAAGACATCAACGCGTTCACCAAAAAATAAATACAATTAACAGCAATTTAATATAACAGTATTTTTGTCTTTTTGTAATGCATTTAAACTAACCAGTGAAAAGTAATACCATTTTTTTGAAGACTGGAAGATGTACTCGACTTTCCACACAATTTAATTGCATAGTACGGCATTTTTTACAGTTTTTTAACACGAAAACGAGAGAAGCAGTTCGACCAACGCTCGGTTACCGAATGAAACGATGTATCGCGACGTCGGTAGGCGTGCCTCACGCATAGGTAAAATACTACTTAAACTTGGCGTAAGCGCTTGCCCTTGTATGCGGACTCTAGTGGGGGTGCTCCGTGGTGTGAAGTTATAGGGGGTGGTAGAGCGACGAGTGTGCATCACTGAAATATTGTGATACTACATCAACACTAAATATGTGTGAAGTTATAGGGGGTGGTAGAGCGACGAGGGTGCATCACTAAAACAAATTGTGATATTACACCAACACTGAATATGTGTGAAGTTATAGGGGGTGGTAGAGCGACGAGGGTGCATCACTGAAATATTGTGATATTACACCAACACTGAATATGTGTGAAGTTATAGGGGGTGGTAGAGCGACGAGGGTGCATCACTGAAATATTGTGATACTACAACAACACTGAATATGTGTGAAGTTATAGGGGGTGGTAGAGCGACGAGGGTGCATCACTGAAATATTGTGATATTACACCAACAATGAATATGTGTGAAGTTATAGGGGGTGGTAGAGCGACGAGGGTGCATCACTGAAATATTGTGATACTACACCAACACTGAATATGTGTGAAGTTATAGGGGGTGGTAGAGCGACGAGGGTGCATCACTGAAATATTGTTATATTACACCAACAGTGAATATGTGTGAAGTTATAGGGGGTGGTAGAGCGACGAGGGTGCATCACTGAAATGTTGTGATATTACACCAACAGTGAATATGTGTGAAGTTATAGGGGGTGGTACAGCGACGAGGGTGCATCACTGAAATATTGTGATATTACACCAACACTGGATATTTGTGAAGTTATATCAAGCTGTGGACCAGTAACGCCTGTGAGACATGATTATGATTACAAGGTGAGTACTTATCAGGAGGTGGCAGAGCGACGGGGGTGCATCACTGGATTATTGTGACATTGTAGTTTATTCTAAACTGTGGGCCAGTCCTGCCTAGCATCCTTTACGAACACTAGCGGGACATGATAATAAGGTGCGTATGTAGGGGGTGGCACAGCTACGAGGGTGCAGCAATATTGTGACATTACACGAAATCTGGATATTTGTGACGTATTACCGAGCTGTGGACCAGGAACGCCTATCATCTGCTGTAAACTTAAGCTAGACATGATAACAAGGTCAGTACTTAACAGGGGGTGACAGAGCGACGGGGGTGCAACCCCAAATTATTGTGGCATTATACCAACACTGGATTATTGTCGTATATTATACTAAACTGTGCCTTAGTCCAGGGGGTGGCAGAGCGACGGGGCTGCATTACTGGATTATTGTGACATTGTAGTTTATTATAATCTGTGGGCCAGTCCTGCCTAGCAATCTTTACGAACACTAGCTGATCGAACTGAAAAAAATGTGAAAATGTGATAGTAAAACCGTAAAAAAAAATCCGTGGAAAAAAGTGCGTGGAATAAAACCGTTAAATGAGACGTGCGAGGACGCGACGAAGTTCCTTACGGCAGGCTTGGAGGGGATAGGGATTTTGCTGCGCGACCGAACTGAAAAAAATGTGATAGTTAAACCGTAACAAAAAATCCGTGGAAAAAAGTGTATGGAATAAAACCGTTAAATGAGACGTGCGCAGGCGCGACAGTCGCATACACTAGCGAGTTTGCAATTTGTGTCGATTCTACATTAGCCGAAGGAACTTCGTTCCTACCTGGTGTCCCACGACACCACATCATTATTTTTTTTCGTATCTTTAGTACAGTTTGTCTATAAAGTAGTGACATTAAATGATGGCGCCACTAGTATGCATGTAGCAACCCTGTACATTCGGACCAAAATGATTTTGATACTAGCAGTTCATTCAAGTAAAATAGGTAACTAATAAGACAACATGCAACAAAATGTTCAGAGTCCACAGTGAGACGAATTGTAAAAGGTTCAAATGATTCGGAATTTCTTACTGTCTTCCGAACTCCCGGCAAAAACAAAAGAATTAAACAAAACCAATGCCAATTTTTTGTACAAATCGGTGCTGGACGAAAAAATTGCGAGGTTTTACCATTTTTGTTAGCTTCATTTCCTGGACTACTGATGATTTGGCATAAACTAAGAGTCGCGTCACGTAAAAAGAACGCTGGCGGTTAGGCTCTGCAGTAGGCGATTTATCGGTCTATTTAGGGGTAAGAGGTGCGGCGCGGGGCGGGTGGCTCACGCGCTGCATTCTTACCGGAGTTACCGGAGCGCTATTATAGTTCGTCAGTCGTCCCTTGATTCCCGCGCTGTGTCCACGTTTTGTTTGCTCTCAAAATACAATCGCGCACAAAAGTTTTAAAACGAAATGGTTTGCCTAACTAATGTTTCCTCATGCAATCAACTGTAATGGTTTTTATATGAGAAATAAAGTTTCTTTAACCTAAAAAAATCATTCAATCCGTTTAACCATGTGATGCTCAGTCAAGCATGTAGGTAGGTAATAATTAATTGATTTTTATTAATACATTATTTTTTTTTTGTTTGCAGGCTGGCCGTCAATTTTTCCTGAGACCTGCTAAACCAATTGATCTTGGCGATGGTTTGGAAATGTGGACTGGATTGTTCCAATCTGCAATTTTCACTTCCATGCCCTTCGTTAACATTGATGGTAATTTAGTTGTCATTGTTATATTTAAAAATAATAGCTACACCAACGAATATGAAATGATATGGAAGCATTACTCTTTAACAAAGGCCGCTAAAACATGGTTCCAAAATAAAGACATCCCCCCGGGATGGAACTTGATGCGCTTTGGCACAAACGATCATGACTATAATACGTTTCAAACAAATGTAGTTTAAGCCGTGGCGGACGTGGGTGCAGCGTTCATACATTTTTGCCCAATGTCCTTTATTTTGATCTTTAGTAATTTTAAGTTAAATAGGTACAAGTACTTTAACGAACGAACATTAATGAGACAAAGGGAATTAATTTAGTTAGTTTGACCCTACATAGGGGGATTAGGTATAATGGGAGTAATTCACAAGATGCAAGGGTGACACCTTATGTTATTCTGCCGCGCTAGAGTAAATACAAAAATTTCCGCATGGTTTGGGGTTTTTTCAAACTTTCTGTTCATTATAGTAAATTATCTTCTATGTAAAACGGAGCGACCACAAATCACACAAACTTGTCCACGCTTCGGAGAATACATGATTCCAGTTCATCCATACTAATTGACAAAACCGATAATCGTGTTCCAATATCCAAGGTGTGTTACATAAAAATCAATCAAGTGACAGGGAGCGCACAATCACAACGAAGTAAGATGAGTCGACTATTTGGAACTGCAAGTCTTTCAACCCCCGTAAACCGTTTTGAGGTGTCTCAGTATATCTGGTTGTATAGTACGATATGGCATATTATTATGGTTACTAATAATATCAAATGAAGGTACTATAAAATAAATTTATTTAGCTACTTAAATATGTCCATGTGTCATATCTTTTGACTATCAGGATATTTTTTTACGGTGTCATAATAAAAAAGGTTGGTTAGTTTTTCATTGATCTATCGATTCATACTAACATTACATTGTTGGTGGAGTTGGGTGGTTTGCCCTTTGTCCTTTGTGTCTTTTTCCAAACTAAGTAAGTATTTCAATTGAAAAATTTCGTTTTCCGTTAAACAGTTGCTCATAAAGGATTCCCTAGGCAACAGCCCTTGGTCGAAGCGTTGCAACGTGACTTCAGATTGGATCCAGCTAGACCTTTGGAAACACAGAGAGGACGGGGCAACGAAAACTTCCAACACTTCCTAAAAGGACTGCGAGTTAGTATGATTAAGATATTTCGACTGTATGTTGTTTATATAGTTACATAGAAAAATTTACATGATCAGATTTGTCACTTATAAAAATTAAACGTAGGAAAAAATAGTCTAAGAATATAGATAGGTCAAAAGAATTTAAATTATGTAAGATATTTAGTAAATAAACACGGGCGCTAAACCTGCCTCAAGAGCATTGGACTTTTAAACGTTGAAATAGGATGTCATCTCATTAGGTGTGTCCTTTCTTCCTTGAGATTCTAAATTAAAAAAAAACTTAAATTTTGAAATTTAAGTTTTTCTATAATTTAGAATTTAAACGTATATGCCAACGGCTGGAAAAAAGCTCATGTGTCGTTTTAAATAAGTTACATGATCAAGGATTTCGAAGATAAGGAACGGAACTCTTCGTAGGATCATAGCATAAGATATCGGATAATCGGATGCATATTTACTATTTATTTTTTAGAAATTCTGAAAACGTCTTCTTAGGATATTTTTACTAAAAATAAAATCTCAAGATTCTGAATCACATAACTAATAGAATGTATATTTACTTAGCGCTTAATTATAATTTCTCAATCAATTATGTGTTTGTAGGTAGTAAGTGTATGTAATAGGTGTAAGAGAAATAGTGGTGAAAACGTAAATAAATATCAATTTATTTAACCGTTAAGGACATCTTACATAATATTTATGTTATACACACAGAGCAGCTGTCATTTGTGTCTATCTGGGTTTATTAGTAGTTCTCATGGGGTATATATACACTTAAATTTTGAATTTCCTGGAATCGCGGGATTTTGTCGATAAAAGTGCTTTCCATAAAAGCCAACATCTCAACTTTAGGTAAATATGCAACCGATTATCCGATCTCTAATCTTAGCAGAACAGTTGTAATAAGTATTATGTATTGCTTTGTTCATACATGGAGTCGATGACTAGACCACTAATGATGAATGGCGGCCCTGGCCATTTGCGATTTGCACGCTCTAGAATTAGTACTAATTCTCATCAAAATATAGGTCAGTAAATAATGCCTTTATATGGCTTTTCCCACCCCTCGCCTACCGCCCCGGGCGATGGCGCTCTTGACCCTAGGGTGAAAATACGATCCTGATAATAAGGCAAATGATACTGCTATACAGCTTACCAACCGTTTATTTTCTGTTATACAGGATTTACAAAACTATGGCACAGTTGGTGAAATATGAAGAATAGAATTGTTACACTAGCTGACCCGTGCCCACTTAGTTGGGCGTAAATCAAGTGTTTTAATTCTTGGGGCCCATGGCTAAATACTTAATATTGTTCTGTAGACCAGAGATTGCCCCCTACATCTGCATAAACTTTATCTTTTTAAATATTACTAAAGATTGCAATAAAGCTTCGTTCAAAATGAATCCAATTCCGCGCAGGATGCGATTCGCTAGCGCCGATTGCGTTAGCTAAGTTGCATGGACGTGTTCATATTGGTGCGAATAGTCGCATCCGTTGAGTACTCAGTTCAAGAACCCATTTTCTTCTTTTCTTCCTCACATCTGGAGATTCTTCTTCAGTTAATGCTAAACAACAACGAAACCTCAGCTTCGATATCAAAAGACATGTTTTCCTATTGAAAAACCAACAAAAATGACGTGTCGGATTCGTTTCAATTTGGGAGGGAGGAGCCAAGCGAGTAAATCACGTAAATTCGCGTCCCACGTCCCGCGTCCTCGGCCAATTTCGCCTCAATTTGAACGAATCTTAAAAATGAATATTGCTACATTTCTGTTTTCCGTTTAGAAGTTTTTGACATCCTAAGTTTCTTCACTAAATCACTTTAAATTATTAGGCTATAACAATTAGTAGAGATTTATATTCATGCTTCTTAGGTGGTGGCTATGGTGGGTGGAGACAGATCTACTTCGGGCCAGAAGCGAGAATTCATTGTCAACGGTCTCGCTGGCCCGGCTACTAAGGAGAGATTTTCCTTCGATGATCCAAACACTGGAGCGAAGAAATCCATGTCGGTGGCTGAATACTTTATTCGTGTGAAGGGTGTGAGGTAAACGATTAGAATTATAACTTAAAAGTTATTACATACTCAGTAAAGAAAAACAGCATGTAAAAGACCGGCAATGCCTATAGGTTCAAAAAGTAGGTAGAGTAGATGTAGTTAGTACATGTTCTTACACATTTATATTGAACATTAGCGGCCGCCCGTGACTTCGTACGCCTGGAGTTAGTTAGAAATAAAGGTTCACTGCTCGTTCCCCGTAGGTGATAGCGTGATAATATGTAGCTTATATGTTGACCCGACTTCTTAATAATATTCGTGCCAAATTTGAAGTAAATCCATGTAGTACTTTTTGAGTTTATCCCGGCCATACATACAGACAAACAGACAAAAATTCTAAAAACTATATTTTTGGCTTTGGTATCGATTGTAGATCACACCCCAAGTTTTTTTTTCTTTTAAATATTTTAAATATTATATTTTTTTTTATATGTAAAGATTATTAAGTTTTAATAAAAACAGGTTAATTAATTAAACTGCGACTAAAATGCAAGAAACAAATAAAAAGGTCCCCTAAAGCGCCTATAGAATACGGATGATTACTAACTTCTTTTTCTTCATCTATCAGATAGAATATTAAAAATATTGGACACCTATATTTTCCTTATTCCCATAATCAAAACATTAGAAATATATTGATTAGAAATGTCGCATCACGTCACGTCTTGGTACAATTTTTACTTAGAATTCGAAGTGACGTCACGAGCATGTCACTTCCAAATTTTAAAGAGCTATCTTTGTAATTTTTTGTTTGACTGACAAAAGAAATAATTAAATTAATGTTCATATCTTTTTGATAAATGTAACTGACGCGGACGGACTAAAAAGAATTTCGTTTGCTTTACCCCGTCATCATCGCTATTACGGATGCATACAAAAGTACTTTTTTTTTCCAGGCTCCAATATCCTGATCTTAACTGCCTTTGGGTAGGTCCTCGGGAGAAGACTATTTACTATCCAATGGAGCTCCTCGAAGTAGCTTATGGGCAGGTAAGGCGTTTGATTCTTTTCCAACAATCAATAGAAGCATTGCACTATTAGCAACAATTATTAATAAACCGTAATTGTGCCGCTGAGCTCAAAATTTATGACATTTCAATTTTTGTGGTATTTGTTGATTTTTTTTCACACACCTAACCTCACCTCATGCACAACTGAAATGTAGTCGATTTTATTGTAACATGTACATTTGTCATGTATTCTATCGCACAATAGCATTTTTAACGCGGTGGTTATTATATTGGACCGATTTGTATTTTAAACTCTGAGCGTTGGACGCAAAGTGGAAATCACAAATTGAAATCGTCATTTAACTGCTACTGTTGGGATTCTAACGCAAGTTGTAAAAGCGCTCATGCCTCCTAACTCGAATCGCCTAACAAGAGTGCATCAAAAACACGTCCGAACGGCGTCCTTCCTACATCAATTTTACAGATAACATTAACACATTTGTTCAAATTAACACGTTACCTCGTGGCAGTAAGGTTCAATGTCAATTGTATACATGGAGCACCCCCACTAGAGTCCGCATCACACAAATTTTGTTTGGAATCAAAATCGCCAAAGTCGGTGGGGTGCAGGGAGGTCAGCCCCGCTGTGATTGGACGCGTCAAGGTCAGATCATATACTCAGTGCAGCGAAGTGATGAGGGTAAGATCGATTTTAGAAAATATCGATATTTTCTATCGATAAACAATTTAGAATAGAGGCCTAGTACTTTGGTGCGCAAATGCGTAATCATACCCTCTCCACTTTCTTACAGCGTTCTAATTACATGACGCGACTAGTAACTACATATAATTTAATATGTAAGCAACACAAAAAAAAACACGTCCAGGACAAGAAGTATTAATGCAACGATATTAACTACCCTAGATACAACAACACGAACAAAATCGTGGCCGAAACGTGTCCTGTACCTTACATTGGACGATCCACGGAGGTCCGTAAGATGATCGCATGGTCAAAAACAATATAATGCCTTATTTAAACATTAAAAGTCACCTTTAATGCATACGGCATAAGGTCTTAATTAAAATGCATGCGTCAAGTTCGACGGTTTTACGATTTAGTGTTATATGTGAAAGAATATAGACCTTATTTTTTTTTTACTTTTCACGCGCAATTCTGAATGCGCTGTTAACAATATAGCAGGTACAGACCGCGAAGAAAAGAGATGGCTAAGGGCGACGTATAACTGACCATGCATTTGAATATCACAATCAGTTTATAGTAAGTATTACAACAATAAAATTTGCTTTAAAGGCGTTAATTAAAAAACATTAATTAGATACCCGTCGAAAAAACGACACTTTACGTACTATTAGTATTTTTCTGCATTTTTTCATGGAACTCTTTGGCATCTTGACTTTTCAACGGTCCGCGTGTGACTGTGTACTAAGAAGTGCTTGAGTGGAGTTCAAGCTCTTCTTGATTGGGACCACAGACTATTTAGATATTGGGACACATTTTGAGCGGTCGTGGTGTATCTAGGGTATTTAATATCGTTAATTCTATGTCTTTATCTAGGTCATAAACTATGCGCACTTAATTTCATACAAATCCGTTTAACCGATTTAGCGTGAAAGCGTAACAAATATGCATACAAAGGAGAATGGGCAAATCCGCCTAGATTGCGCTTGACGCATTTATGTATCAAAAATCTTCTTCTGAATTATCATTTCATATGTGTGTTTATTATGTAAATATTATGCGGATATTTAAAATAATAAATAAATGGCTATTAAACTGAGTAAATAACCAATAACCATAGATAAAAGTTGTATCACCTGGTCGATACTATCGTAGGAAAAAAAATCGATTATATTTCTTTATTTAAATATTCTTAACATAAAAAAACGAGTGTGCTTATGACTACACAACTGAAGTGAAACTTCTTTCATTTACTAGCTGTAAGAGAAAAAGAGAAAGAAAATGCGTGCGCGCGCTCTTGCTCCTACACTGTGATACAGACAATAGGCTTGCACTGTGCTTAGATATACGGAACGTATTTGGCTATGAGAGGAAGAGAGAAAGAAAATGTGCACGCGCACTGCTTTCTCATGCTTACATCCCCCACTCAGCTCCCGTTCGCCTCGCCCGATCACACTTTTCTTAACGCTTACGTTCGCTAGCTTACTCCCCAAGTCAAGAGTGCGTAAAGAAGTTTCACTTCAAAAAGAAAAAATAAAACGTTTATTATAATTGAAAGCATAGAACAATTGTAAATAGCCTGAAACATTTTTACCAAACACCGTAAATGACTACGAAAATGATCATTCGTTAATTCGTAGTCATTTTTTATTTTGAGGTCTTCGATGCGAGTTGTTTGATTTTTGTATGGATCGATGGATAGATTATTTTCCCCAAATCGCCTATTCAGAGGGCCTGGTTTCGAATTCCGGTGAGCCAAATGTTTGTATGATGGATACGAGCATTTTTACCAATATTATATCATGATAAATAACATTAAATTCATAAACGTATCATTTGTAAGACCTGTGTTGTGACTATCTCACTGTACCTACCAGGTATTGCTCTCTTTCATTGCATCTAAAAACTAAAAGGAACTTAATGGGCTGCGCAAAAGAGGATTTTTTGTCTGCGGACTATTTTGTTCATCAAACAGTAGATCGCATACAAAAACTTTTATATGTGTACTACATATTCACATCTTAGATTAAAAAAGGGAATATATTTTTGTTTAAATTATCAGTTATATTATATATAATTACTTAATCATATATAAATTAACTCATGGTTTGAACATTTTAAGCATTTGCATTGAAAAATAAAACATTTATTAATCGATAGTGTAGAAATCGATTCCTATAGAATCAAATCGAAATATATACCATAGGCAAGTGAAGTAGGTAGCTGTCAACTTGTTGTCAACGTGTTTGTTGTTGAGTTTTTTGGCGGGATTTCATCGAGTGCGGTTGGCGTCTTAATTTAATTATTCTTAAATTTGTTCATAGTGGATATTGTGAAATAAAATTGGTGTGATTTTGTGTTACAACCGTCTGGGCAACTGAAGAATTAGTGGAATCTTTAAAATATACGCTATTCCGGTCAAGTGGACGTGAGAATTTTATTGTAGTATTGACTACCTCACAGAAGCTTATCGAAAAAGCCAACTCGATATATTTCGTGCCAAACACTCCGAGAAGCATTAGAATGCGTCACACCCACATTCTAATGTAAAAAAAAGGAAGATTAATACAAAAATAAGACGATGGCTGCATGGCTATGCCTTTGCCTTTCTCAATAGAGAAGAATAGAACTAAAAAAAAAAAAGTGTTTGTTGTTTGTTCCGAGTGACTAACTACATAAAAGTACAGTTTTCAATTTTGAATTGAATTTGTGTTTTCAGTGGTCTATTGTGGCAGAATAGTTTTAATGTTGAGTTGAGTAATCCTCCGTTAATACCTTTTTTTTGGGAAAGAGAGCATTGGACTCGTTGATTTAGTGTTAAGTTACCTTTAGTGATTCTGACAGAGATATTTGGACTCTTAGTTTATTGTAATTATTTTTGTTTACAATGGCATCTGGTGTTACACAAGAAAACGCAGGCAGTATGCAACGACGTTGTATTAACTGTTGTATATCAGTGCCACGACGACAGCCAGTACATTATTTGGACATGCTATCCAATTAAATGCTTAATGTTTTAAGCTCATGGATCGCACCTGATTCTGTAAGTAATTATTTACTTATATTACTAAAAATATATCGTTATACAATCGCAACCGTGAGATAATGTTTTAATTTCATTCACATGTTCAAATAAATATAAATATTTTTGACTTGTTATAGATATTGAATGGGGGCATAGTGTGCAACGAATGCTTTATGCTACTACAAGCTAGTGACACCACCGAAGAAGTACCTGCACCACAATATGGCCATCAACAAGTCTGTTTTGGTTGTGGAAAATCCATATTAAGAAGTCGATCGTACAGGGTTTCACTACACTGTCCAGAAAGAAATATTATTCTTAGATGGACTCCAGCACATCAGGTATGGTATAAGATATTATTATCAATAATAAATTATTAAAATTGATTTCAATGCTAATTAAAACATGACTGTGACATTATTATTATTTTTGCATTGCATGATTGAAATGTTATATTAATAATAATTTATTTAAATTGATTTCAATACTAACTGAAACATGACTTTGACATTTTTTTTTACATTGCATAATTTTCATGTAGTATATTAATGAAATTGATTATATAATAACTAACTCAATCATGACTATGGTATATAAATAATATATATAGTTTTTAAAGATTGAGTTCTGGATAATACTGCAACTACCTATAAATATTTGCACGTCGATAAAAGCGACAGGTCATGTTGGTTATATTTTTGAGATCTGTATAATTTACCATATCTTGTCAGATAAATGATTTATTATTATTATTATAAGAAATATATTTCTATTGCATTAAATAGTTGTAGATGGTTTTTCATTAAATTCAAGTTCACTTATCTTTTTTTTATAGGTGTCAAGGATTTCAAGAGTTTGTGCTGCCTGTTGGCGAGCAGCTAATAGGGAAGTGCAAAGGCAACAGTTACATGATGCGAATCGGTCATCAATTGAACAAATTGATGTAGAACCAACAGAGTCTGTACCAGTGATCCCAGTACCACCACCATTTCCCGCTGGTCTATTACCTGTTCAGCCTTCAAGACCTGTTATACCTAAGATACAGTCATCAGTATATAAGCGTGCTGTAGCCACTTCATCGAGTTGTCTGTTTTCAGGATGCCGGGAACAACAATGTTTATTAGTACCCAGAGTAATAAGAGAAATGTTATTAATACATAATAAATTCTATGTTCCCACATGTTGTAGAATATGTCAACATCACTTGAATAATGGGCGTTGGAGTGATTTAACATCAAATCTGCAAGATTTTACTGGTGTACAGTTTGATGCCATTTTCAATATAATGCAGAGAGCAGTTTCCCATTGTTTC